CCTTGGGAAGAGTTGTTAACTCCCAAGTGTTGTTCTTCTCTATTGACTTGATCTCATCCTCCATGGCTTATCTTCACCTTTTGTCTGTAACAGCTTCATCAAAGTTCATTGGTTCACGGTCAGCAAAGAGACAATATAAAAAATCAAAATTAGTAACTTCTTCTGTGTCGTCATAGAGCTCTTGAATGCTCCTTGTCCTTTGCGGTTGTTCATTTGAACTTTCTTGAGAAGAGGGAGATGCAACAATGGTTGGAGAAGGAGGTGAAGTTGTATCCTGCACAGGTTCCACGGTCTCTGGTTCTTCTTCATCACCAAAGTATGGAAGAAAATCATATGAAGTTTCTTCCTGAGCTTTCCAATCCCATGCCAATTCTTCATCAAATTCAACATCGCGACTTACCACCACCTTGCCGCTGCTTGGGTTGTATAGCTTGTAGCCTTTTGAACTCGTATCATAGCCAACAAACACATGCTTGACACTTCGATCGTCAAGCTTTGCTCTCCCCTGATGTGGCACATGAGCATAGGCTATGCTCCCAAAGATTCTCAAGTGCTTGACGCTTGGCTTTCTTCCACTCCATGTTTCTTGAGGCATTTGATCTCTAACATTTCTTGTTAGAGACCTGTTATTCAAATAAACTGCACAAGAAACAGCTTCGGCCCAAAATTCCTTGGGCATACTTTTAGCTTTCAACATACATCTAGCCATATTAAGAATCGTTCGATTCTTTCTCTCTGCAACACCATTTTGTTGAGGTGAATAAGGTACCGTTATAGGGAGACGAATTCCATGAAGTTGACAGAATAAATTTGTTTGAGGTGAATTCGCCTCCTCTATCGGACCTTAGATCTTTAATTTCATAGCCATTTTCTCCACAAGTAGTTTGAAAATTTTAAAAGCAGCAAAAGCTTTAGATTTTTGGTTCAAGAAATAAACCCAAGTCTTTCTACTAAAGTCATCAATGAAAAGCAGAAAGTATTTTCTTTTACCAAAAGAAGGTGGATTGATTGGTCCACACACATCAGTGTGGACAAGCTGGAGCGGCTTGGTTGATCTTGACATGGCCTCCTTTGGAGAACTCCTCCTTGCATGTTTTCCAAGAAGACAAGCTTCACACAATTGATTGGGATGGTTGATTGATGGTATCCCATGCACCATGTTCTTTTCTCCCATTGATTTGAGCGCTTCAAAATTTAAGTGCCCAAATCGCATGTGCCAACACCATGATTCATCTTGCACATTAGCCTTCAAACACTTTGCATCAATTGTTTTAAGATTCAGAGAAAACAATCTATTCTATGCCATATGCACTTTAGCAATTAGAATTCCACTTGAATCTCTAAGCCAAAGATGCATATTTTTCATGTGGATGTCATATTCCTTTTCAAGAAGTTGGCCCAAACTTAAAATATTACTTTTTAATTTTGGCACATAATAAACATCTTGAATTAACTTGTGACTACCATCTTTACAGGAGATCAGAACCGTACCTATCCCTTCGATCTGAACCTTTGAGGTATCTCCAAAGGACACATTACCTCTCACCGTTTTATTGATCTCCACAAACTTCTCTTTGCATCCACACATATGATTGCTCGCTCCATTGTCCAAATACCACGAGCTGCAATCATCTTTGTCTTCTTCCTTGAGTGCCATCAACAACGTTGACTCATCTTCTTCTTTCTTGTCGTCAACAAGGTTAGCTTTTTCTTCAACATTGCTACGACATTCCCAAGATTAATGGCCAAATTTATGACAACTATAACACTCAATTTTTGTTTTGTCATACCTTTGTCCATTATTTTCTTGGTAGTATCCACGTCTTCTTCCTCCTCTTTGTCCACGACCACGACCTTTGAATGTTTGGTGGATTTTAACTTTATTGTTGAAGTTGTGACCATTACTTCTTCCATGACCTCCTCGGCCTCAGCCTCGGCCTCATCCGTTTCCTCGATAGCTTGTTTCACCTCCATAATCCTTGAAGGATGCCTGAGTTTTAAGAAGTTGCTCCAATGGCACTTCTTATCTCCTTTTGATCTTTTCTTCGTGGGCCTATAAAGAACCTTCCAATTACTCCACCATCATAGAGTCTAATACTCCTCAATAGTACACACCACAAAATCAAATTTAGGTGTTAAAGTGCGAAGTATCTTTTCTACCACACGGACATCTTCTATGTCCTCCCCGTATCTTCCTAGTTGATTTACAACAGCCTTCACTTTTGAAAAATAATCCGAGATGCATTCGGATTCTTTCATTTTTAAAACTTCAAAATCAGTCCTTAGAGTTTGAAGTTTTACCTTTTTTACTTTGTCAACTCCTTGAAAAGAATTTTGTAAAATCCCCCAAGCTTCCTTTGAGGTGGTAGCATCTGCCACCTTCTCAAACATGGCATCATCCAAACATTGGTGGATGAGCGTGAGGGCTTGTTGATCCTTCTTCCTTGTCTTTGCCAAGACCTCTTTTTCATTTTGAGGCAGAGCTTCCTCATTATCGGGTTTTGCATACCCTCTGTCTACTATTTCTTATACATCCTGAGAGCCAAGAATGGCTTTCATACGTAGACACCATTTCTCATAATTATCTTTTGTGAGACGGGGGTACTGAAAAGATAGCGGACCATTATTTGCCATGGCTCTGATACCACGTTGTTGGGATAAAAAAATAATATATTCCGCCCAGGAATAATATTCACGGCAAATAATAATAACACAAGAGAGTAACAATGACACCAACTCTTTTAATGGGGTAAAATACAATACCCGAGGGAGCAATATAACCATTATAATATTACAACTTGGTAGTGTCAAGAGACTACTACAATTTTGAAAGAAATAACACTCTTTATTTAAAGACACCTCACTAAAATATTACTACCACTCACTATTTATCTCACAGACAACAATCTGTGGATTACTCTCACTGCTTTGCTTTCTGCTTAGCTTCTCTCGGTTTTTTTTTGGTGTGTTTAAACCGAGAGGGAAGCATCTATATTTATAGGTAAAATACCAACCTTTCAGCCAATCAAAATTGACTTTTGCATTACAAATTGAAATTTTGATCATCCGCCCATATGTATTTCAAGCAACCTATTTTATCCAACTTTTCAATCTTCTTCTTTATTTTCTTTGGTAGGTGAGGTATGGACCCCACAACCATATCACGTACAGGTTCAAACAAATTCATAGCTTTTGATTAAACCCTTTTAATATATAAATATTTGATTGTGAGCTAAGAAATTAAAATAAGCTACAGGTTCCACGGCAAGTTCAGAATCCATAAACCATAAATCTTGACTCTGCCTCTGCACGTAATAAGTGTGAACTAAATTCCCCATTATCCTTCTCTGATTCCCTAATGTGATAGGAAAATTTAAAAAGAAAAGATTTAATTAAGTTCACAGTTTGTGTCGGCTATATGAGACCTCTATTCAAGTCCATTTAATTTCATTTCTAACAATTAAGGTCAGCATTTCATATTTCAACAAAGTCCTACAATATTTGAAATAATTTGAAGCGAACGAAGAGAAGCAAGATATCGAGGCAAATATTTGCAAATAGCTCAACTAAAGAGCAGGGCTACCAACATCTTTTTTAAATTTAACTCTAAACCTAGTTACATTAGCACAAAATTACATGAAAGAAAAAAAAAACAAAATTATAGTTTAAGGAAAAACAAAAAACTTTAAAAACAATCAAACATGAAATTAGAAGGAGCCTGACCTTGGATGAATCTGGAAGAAGAGAAATGATGCGGTGAATCACAAAGAGAATGTTTTTGGTGGACCATAAGAGAGGTTCTTTTCTTCTATTCTACGCCAAAAAGAAAACTCGAGAGAGAGGGAGGAGTTTCAGATTCCTGAATTTCCATGGTCACCCTAAACTTTATAAAAAGACATTAATGCATCTGGGCTTTGTCAAATGAACAATTACCCCCTCGTAGTATTTTTTCTTGGCACATAAATTAAAGAAATACCACAATTGCTCAAAAAAGAATTACTCGATTTTGATATATAATTACTCGATTTTGATATATAATGATCAGATCATTATGCTTTTAGTTTTGAGGTTGATTTTTTAAATTTTACAACTTTAAAATACTTGAGAATTATATAAAAGCACTATAAATTACAATTTTAAAATAAAATATTTTAAAAACCATAATAAAAAGTGTTTAAAATAGTGATAGCGCCATGTGAATTGAACAAATTCAGTAACTATAATTCTCCACAAGAGAAGAAATTATTTAATGTTGATAATGTAAGAAAGGTGCACTAATACCAATATTGCTCGTATGGAGTTCTGACAAATTTGTAAACGAAAGCCTCATTATACTATTCTTCATTATTACTCCTATCATTTGTTTAGAAGAAAAAAAAAACTTGATAAGATAGTTCAACACGTAATTTGATCTTAGGCTTCACATCAGTAGAGTTTGATAGTATGTTTTTGAAAAATCTAATGGGTGATTTGTACCATTAACTTATGGTTTCAAACATGTTTGATTTGTTTAGAGTTGGTATATTAGTTGGGAAATTTATGTATGAACGTACAGTACTTTCATATACGTAATAATAAGAATTGATCCTCATTCCCCACCTTACAGTTGGTATATTAGAAGGGGAGCCTTGGCGTAACTAGTAAAGTTGCTGCCATGTGACCTGGAGGTCACGGGTTTGAGCCGTGAAAACAGCCTCTTGCAGAAATGCAGGGTGAGGCTGCGTACTATAGACCCTTGTGGTCCGGCCCTTCCCCGGACCCCGCGCATAGCGGGAGCTTAATGCACCGGGCTGCCCTTACAATTGGTATATTAGTTTGGTCAGTAGGATAAGTGTCACTATTAAAGATTGTCAAAAGTAAGTAAACTAAAATTGCCACGTCAAAATTTTTGGACGAAAAAGAAATAAAACAGCGAGACAGGTTGATTTTTGATCAATTACAAATTTCTTTTTGGCATAAAACTAATTAACTATATCAAGAATCGAAAGTTGAATGAATATTTTAATTTATCTCCGCCCAAGATATTTTAGCACATTCAATTTCGACAATATAATAATAGAAAAGGTGACACATTCAAATGAAAAAAACAAAAAAAAAAACTATACTAGAACATGAAAAAGTTATAGAACGAAATCAATCCATGAGCTTTGTTAACCGAAGTGGAGATCTTGGTGTTGCCTTTGCTTTGACAGCAGTGCTTGGTTTTGGACAAAGAAAGAAAGTTCGAGATCCCAAATTCACCACTTTCTCCTGTCTTCAAACCTGCGTATAACCGATCAACATGTCAACATAGCTAATCAAAGGTTTCAATAATATTGCCATTTATATGACACCTTCATTTTCTTATGCCACGTTTTTACGCAAATCATAACGTACCGTTTTGTTTTTAATTTTTAATATTAATAAATCTATGACATGTGTTTATATATAAATTTTTCTCACCTAATTATGGTTAATTATATACAGTTATTTATAACAACCTCATTTGTTCCAATATTTTTTGGCTGCTATAGTGAAGTATTATTATAGAGAATGTATATCATAAAATACCATAAAAATCAATTCCGGAAAAAATATAACTTTTATAGGAAATAACTGTCGAGGTCTGACTTTATTTTTATTATGTCAAATCACTTACCCGTCGTATGTTTAGTATGGGTTGGTGTAAACACTTGATGCAAGTAAATTTTTACCGTGTGAGAGATTTTATTATAAAAAAAAAATAATATGATAATTCCCGATTAACCCGTGAATGAACCAAACCATGATTGTTTAAGGTCATGTTTAACTAATTAAACTATACGCCTTAATGGTTTAGTTATATCAAATAGAGTTAAACTAAAGCACAAATAACACTCAATTCTTAAACAAAATCGACCGAGATCTTTAAACGAAGAAAATATTTCGCACGTAACCATGTGGCTATGCAATTTTGACATGTGCAAAAGATTGTCTTCATTGACGTTGCTGCAGGGAAGACAGTCAGCCACATACATGGAATATGATGCACAACCACAAAAACTACGAAATTAATCATGATAATAACTCTATTCATTGCTTTCATCCAAATTCAATGTCAATAGTTTAATTGTTCATTTTCCTTTAACAACAACTAATAAGAGGGCTCACTTTAAAACTATTTACATTACATACAGAGGATCTAAATTTTTAGGACAATCAAGTGCACTCTTTTTTGTATATACATACTTCTAAAAATACATGCATATATCTCAAGTTTAAGCCGGGGCAGGGCTAGCCCATCGAGTACGGGTTTGGCTGAACCCAATCGTTTTGGTCCAATCCATATATTTGTCTTAAAAAATCCGTGAATATGTACAAATTATTTATTTAGAACCCGATAACTTAAGCGGTCGTTTGGTTTGAATACGGCTGATGCCGGGATAAGTTATACTGGTATAAGTTATGTCGGGATTTGTTATGCTGAGATTGTTTTTTATCCATTGTTTGGCATGTTGTATTAAATATGACAATTGCATAATTTGTAAGAAGAATGTATAAGTTATACCGGTGTTAATTACCCCACCTCTATAAGGTATAAGTTATCCCGGTGTTAATTTTAATCCTGGGATAACTTATACCTGATTTGCTAACCATACGAAGTATTAAGGTGCTATTAAATTTTTATACCAGCACTATACCTTCTTATACCTCATACCAAACGACCCCTAAAAGTATTAGAACTCGAACACATAGACTTCAAATCCTGGCCCCGCCTCTGAGTTTAAACTGATGAATGCATCGTACATACACTGATTTTTTGTTGGAGTACATGATTCAATTCAGTTATAATCAACTTTAAAAATTAGTATTGTACTTGCATGTATTAATAGTGTAATTTTTTTAATTTACAGGTTATACATTAATTAAGTTCACTTGCAAAAAATTTACACTGATAATCTATAGAAGGAAAGTTGGCCTTAAAAATAATACTACCAATATATTATGGGCGGCTGAAACTTACTCTCCAAACTAAACTGGGAGTAGTGAAGCTCGTAACACCGAGGATCACTAGTAATCAACAATGGCCGCCGCTTCTCCTTCACGTAAATCTCCTTCTCCGGCGATATCACCACATGCACCGGTCCCAAACTGTTCTGAATATTCACACTCAGCAACAGCTTCGTTAACTTGTGTTGCTTCTCACGAGCGCTGCTCGCGGTCGTCACATTTCCGGCCCGAACATCTATAACGGCCGGATTTGTGTGGGCAACCGCGAGTCTCGGTGCCTCTCTGCCGCCGTGCGCGGTGGTAGCACGACGGTTTACTGGAGACGGGGACGATGTCTTTTTTTTTCTCAGTCGATGGATTGAAGAAATATATATAATTCTGTTGATAGAATATACCATAAAGTATTAGTACGAGGATATTTTTTTAATGTTCTGAAATCATAGAGATGTGTTTGTGTTGGGATGGATAGTTATATTAAGTAAGAAATGGAGGGGTTTGGTGATAATGAAATTTGGCAGATATATGGCCATATGTAGGACGTGGGCTTTAGCAATTTACGGGTTGGACTGGGCTAGCCCATCATTTCAATGGGCCTTATGGTCAGCCCACTCCAACCCTACGTGGGCTGCGGGCCCCACGGGCCGGCCCATTATTTTTTTAAAATGTAATTTTATATTTATTCTTTAAGTTCTAACAAAAAAATCTTCTTAGAAAAATTTCACAAAACTTAATAACTTTTTATATTATTCCAATATATTATAGTAAACACTAAAAAAGTAAAATACAAAACCATTTCATTCACTAAAAGTCAAAACTCAAAGCAAGCTATTCATGAGAACGTCCATGACACTTATGGGATATTCAACACATGATCTTCATCAAACACACTTGAATCCGCGTGTTAGAAGGTTGTTTTAACATCTTCACTTTCTTATACATTTACAATTCTTTGCAATATAAATTAGTTAAATATTAAGAATAATTAAAATTTTAAAATTAATTAACGTTTCAAGACTTTGATCTTTTAATATGATGAGCTTAATAAACTTTAAGCTTGGGATACTCTTCTTGTTATTTTTTGTCATATGAATTTTTATTTTATATATTATAAATATATATTTTTATTAGGCCCACGGGCCGGCCCAGCCCATCCTCAATCAAGCCTCACAGGCCACGGGCTTACTCGGGCGGGGTCTAAAAGTAGAAATGGCATGGGGTGGCCACTATTTAAGGTGGTATTTATTTTTTATCCAGCAATTCTAATGTTGAGCAAAAATAGCCATTGCCCTATTAAAATTAGTATGAAAAGACATTTTTACCCTTTCTTCCCTTGCTTTTCTTCCCAAACCCTTGCTTCTCTCTCTCCGTGCCTTCTCCATAACTGTGCATTATGTTGAGGTGGCGGAGCCTATCTACACAGTCATTCTAATGCACATCGCATCGCTTGTAAGCATTCATTAAAAGACAAAAGCTCTTTAACAGAACTTTTCAATTATCATGGTTCAAAAGTTAGTAACAGAACTTTGTAAGTAGGGTGTAGACCTTTTGTTCTCCTTGCATGGTTCAGTTGGAAAGCATAAAATAAAAGAAACAAAAATAATGATTGCAATTCATAGCCAAAGAATAATGTCGCAGACTCTGCCAAATTTAAATCTTTTAACTTTGATTTTCAAGTTCAAAAGTTAAGGACAGACATCAGTTACAAGTTCAAAACTTAAGGACAATAGGTCCTTAACTTTGATTTCCAAATTCAAAAGTTAAGGACAGACAGTCCTTAACTTACAGTTAACATTCAAAAGTTAAGGACAAGCAGTGCTTAACTTACAGTTACAAGTTCAAAAGTTAAGGACAATAAGTCCTTAACTTTGACTTACAAGTTCAAAAGTTAAGGACAGACAGTCCTTAACTTACAGTTACATGTTCAAAAGTTAAGGACAAGCAAGTTCAAAAGTTAAGGACAAGCAAGTTCAAAAGTTAAGGACAATAGGTCCTTAACTTTGACTTACAAGTTCAAAAGTTAAGGACGCTTGGTCTTGAAGTTTGAGTTTCAAGTTCATAAGTTAAGGACATGTAACCTTGAAGTCCTGAACTTAGAGTTCCAAGTTCAAAAGTTAAGGACATGTAGTCCTGAACTTAGAGTTACAGGTTAAAAAGTTAAGGACATGTAGTCTTGAAGTCCTGAACTTAGAGTTTCAAGTTCAAAAGTTAAGGACATGTAGTTCTGAAGTCCTGAAGTTAAGGACATGAGCAGAAGGGTATTATCGTCCGGACAGTTAAAGTTTATTAAACCGGTGGCTAAAGACTAAAGACATTTAAAACACTGGCTTTAAAATAATGACATGAGCTGTAGTGGCTATTTGTGCACATCGTCCGATTTAAAAGCCTCGTTTTTAAATGGGCTCCAAATATTCTAACTCAACCCTACTAAATCACGGGTTGGATTGGACCGGCCCAACGGACCAAGCCCATATTGACGGCTCTAGCCATAGGAAATCATTTTAGTTGATGGATTTGTACTATATATGTTGATTGTTGAGGGGCGCGAAATTTCTCGGAAATAGCTGGTGCTGCTGCTCTCCACTTCTGTCTCCTCAAGTTTTGCTAAATTATTACTTGCTCCTAAACTTTTCAATCTGTTGAAATAATTGACTAGTTATTTTACCGATAAAGGTCTGTTTGACACTTAACATCTTAAATATATAGTTAAGGGGCCCTTTCGTGGGTAAATAAGTTATTCCATGATTAATTATTTCGAGATTAGTTATTTTAAAATTAGTTATTCCACCGTCTAGGGATATAAAAATATTACAATTCCGGGATGACTAATCCCGAAAATTAGTTATACCACGATTTTATCCCCACCAAACACAGGATAACCTCGTCTTAAATTTAATCCCGAAATAAATTATCCCTTATCCTTCGTACCAAATGAAACCTAAGTATAGTAGTCAAGTTTACAGATAATCCATGTTTTTTTTTCCTGGCCGTCACTTTACTAATGTTATAATTAGCAATAAACATCCATTAATTATCCGACCTAACCTGGACCACCAGATATTTAAACAAGATTTTGCACTTGTACCCAATATTTGAAAAGGTAAAAGTGAAACTCGCCTAGAGACGACTCAATCTTTAAACCACAAAAGATTATGGATGACTCAATATTGTTATTACAAAAAATTATTATTCCATAGACACATGTCTAAATAGTTTTCCTACCTCAATGATTGCATCATTATTTATATTTGCAAATACTGAACTCGATATAGTAAAATTAAATAACTATTCAAAAAGAGTGGTAATTGAAAAAAGAGGGAACTTGATATTGAAAAGATTCAAATTAATTTAAAATTTATTTTTAGTTTTTGAAACTTGATGATTGAACCAAAAAAGAAGATGAAGAAAACATAAAAGAAGGAAAAGGAAATTAAATAGAATCCCAAAAAAACCAAAAATTTAATTAAAAGATATGTCACAGGGGTGAACCAAAAAACAAAAGAACGCATGAATAAAAAAGAAAAACAGAAAGAAAAAAAAAAGATTTCAGTTGAAACAGAAAAGAAAGAAAAAGAGAAATAGAAAATTGGCTTTTGATGTTATATGGAATAGGATTCGAACACTGGAGCTAGGGGCCAAAGGTGCGCGAAGCCACCACAAAACCAAATGCTGTTCTGAGCATGAGTCCCGACATAGATTTATAAGTACTTTATCCAATAAATACCACTGTAATATATAGTCTAAGGAGGAGAGCATGAGTTCACGTGCCCCGTATCCTCCACGTGGATCCGCATCTGCATTTAAGCCATACATATTTTACACTTTGGCCTATATGTGTTCAGTGTGCGCTAATACACATTTTTTTTAAATAACGGTGGTAGTACATTGGTGTTCGGACGAATGCACTTCGACTAAATTCAGGAGTACACGTTAAATTGTCTATCTTTTCATTTTATATTAAAATTCTTTTAAGTTGAGTAGCAAATCTAATACTCATGCTACTCTACCATACAATAGTAGTACATACAAGTCACACTAATATAAAATTCTGGATCATCCAGAACACTGCATGCAACCAAGGATTTTCCATAGCTTACATGATCTTCTAATTATTTTATTTATCTTGCGACCAAAGAATCCATGGGAAATAACGAGTGGATGTGAATTTGCCTTAACCGGAGCAATCTCTGATGCTATTTCTTGGTTACTTGCATTACTACTATAACTTTTTCGAAGATAAAAACTTCTGCTTCCAACATCTCCAATCACATCTGTATTACTCAAGCCTATATCAATGAAATAGAAAATTATCAAAGAAGGAAAAAAAGGTAAAAAAGAAAATAAAACAAAAGGAAAATTTTAATATAAAAAATACTTACACTGACAGTATAATTCGACTAATTTTAGTATGTTACTTTTCTTTTTGAGGTTACTAGAAAATGATTTTACATAAATTTACATGTAATTATATTTTAATGGTCTAATTGTGGAAATGTTTCACACTCTCCGTGTATAGAACTTAAAATCTATTCTATTACATATATTTCCTTTTGGAAGACAATGATAAATCACAAGCTGAAATGTACAAATAGCTACACTACGTATTAATTTTAACATGTAGCATGACATTTCGAGACTGGACAAAGAGGCAACTGTATCTTCAAACGTAATCTTTTACTAACTTGTCAATATGACAACCCAATTAAATAATTACTATGCGAGCCAAAGATAAATTTTCTATGTTTCATCAGCCAACCTTACATCAAATACAGGAGAATGACCTCTCAACAAAGAAAGGGCGTATACACCAACTGTATTTAAATACCCGTCATGACTTAGGTACATTAAATATAAATATTAGTCCTAACATCATTTATTTAAATTACAAATATCATCCTATATATTGTCACAATGTAGTTTGCGGATGAAAGATGTTAATTTGTATAATCTTGAGGCCGCAAGATCACTAATCTGCTAAACTTTTATTCTGCCGGGATTAATTATCCCAGGATTAGTTATTCCGAAATTATTATCCCATCCTTCCATAGAGATAAGAATGACTCTACAATCCCGGGATAACTAAACTTGGGATTAATTAGTTATACCGTGATTTTATTTCAACTACATGTGGGATAAACTCATCTCAAATTTAATCCCGAGATTAATTATCCCTTATCCCTTGTACCAAACGGTCCCTAAGAGTTTATACATGTTTCCTGGGTTTGACGGACATAAGAATTAAAGATGTAGCTTAAAGAATACAGAATCAATTTATTTTAGGAGGTATTCAAAATTTGTACTTTGACTCAGCATTTCGAGAAATTGGCTATAGTAAATTTGAGGTGTAATTAGGACTTACTTTGAAGTAAGACTGGTACAATTGAAACGATGAATCAGCATTTTTATCAAGCCGAGGAGTGCGGCCTTCTTCACTACACTTGTCTATGACATGTCTTATTGTCTCGTCAACACTAGATCCCAACTTGACCATGGTTCGCACTGGTCCTGGACTACCTTCAACTGTTACATTAACCACAACTTTTGCCTCCTTCTCATACCCGTGCTGCACAAATTTTTTACAAATATTAGATATCAAGAAAGGTTGTAAGTACGCTAAGGCTCAGAATGGGGGTTGGCCTACTTCGCGCGACTCCAGGGGTGGATTTAGGTATTTTTTACGGTGCACGTAAATTCATGATTTTTCTGTCAAACTAGCTATTTTGTGTATGTATTTCGTATGTTGGCCTCCATGTTCCAAAAAGTTTGAATGGTGCACTTGTTGAATGCTAAGTTATTTATCCAAAGGATGGATCGATTCCCACTTAGTACTTTTTTTCTCTTGCTTTTTCAATGGTGCACTCATGTTCTAGAATCCTAGATCCGCATGCACGGCTCACTTTTAACCGGTAGGTTGAGAATAGAGGCCGCTGAAGACTGAGTTCAATTGAAGCTATTATTTTCGACACGAAATATAGATGATCACAATAATCTTATCTCATTAATTCATTTATGCACCAAATCCAAGTTTACAAATGAATATTTGGAGTATGGTTAGCTAATTAGTAGTTGAATAGGCCAATCCAAAGAGTAATTACTCAGGTAATGATGAATTTACTAATTTTGTTAACAAACAGATTGTAACAACTAACAAATGCTACACTAATAATAATATCAATTTTTTATGCAGGTAACTATAACCACATCTAAATTAGTTTTTTAAAAAGAAAAAATCATTTTCTAAGCTAAAATCAAATAGTATGAATATAGACAAAAAAAAATGTAAACAAGTAGTAATACCTCGAATAATGAAATATCAACGAATAGCAAGCAAACAAACAGTCCTTTTGATATACCGATCGAACAACGAAAATACCTTTACATAATTTCCGGAAAAAAAGTACCTGAAAACTCTGCGGAGATCCAGAATTATGATAATCAGGAGACAAGAATATGTCCGAACAAGTTTGTGGCCGCAAAAGGATTTCTAACGACGGCGCCGTCACATCCCGGCCGAGATCATCGTCAAAGTCAATGACTCCAATTTTCAAAATACAAGGCTCTGATTTACATCTCTCTAGCGTCCTATAATTAGTATCCCTACTATGCTGCTTCAATGATCGGCGCTTCACTGGCACAGGCGTATACCTCCGATGACCCGACGGCGACGGTTTTAGTGCTCTGTTCCTAGCTGTCCGGCTTGCCGGAAATCGTCCCCGGATATGGTTGTCTGACATATACACTTGATTTAACTGGTATTTTGAGTGTACTTTTTACAGTGTATAAGGACGTGCACTTATTTACGTATACAAAAATACAGGGGAAGCGTATGAATTGAAGCAAAAGGGAAGGAAAAAGGACAACAATGGAAGTTGCTTGGTAGTTGCTTGAATTTTAAGTTGGAAATGGAGAACCGAAAAGTCCTTTATTTATACTACTCCATCAAATTTCTTTTTTCTTTTTTATATTTTGGCCCTTGTTTGAAAATAATAAGACACCTATTATCTTCAACATTGTAGGTAGGCGGGTAATGAATATTCGAAAATCGATTAAACTGATCGAACCGTACCGCATCGAACTAATTTTTAGGTTTTTTTTTAAGAAACCGTAGGTTTTTATATAAATCTATAGTCGCACCGTTAATTAGGGTAGATTTTTTATTTTATAAATATAAACCGAAAAAAGACCAAACCGTACCGAATAAATTTTACACGTGGAAAATATATTTAATTAGTAAGTTTAAAAATAATGATGCATTAAATTTTCTTTGGGCCTTGGAATTATGAAAACTATTACAAGCCAACAAGTAATTAAACTCAAAATATTAATTCCTAAAACCTATTATGCTACTTCTACTTAAACTAAGTTATTTCAAGTATCTTTATTAGCAAGACACAAAGTGTTCTAGCGATTATGAGTAGCAAACTATAATGTATTGAATATGTTTCCTTTCATATAATTTAGATTTATCTTTTTGAATATTAATCTTCTATAGACTTTATTCTTGAGTCCCGGCTTGGTATATCTTTCAACTCATGATTTATATTTTCTTTGCCTTTGTTTGATTTCTTTTATGTTGTTGTAGAATAGTTGATGGATCTATACTCTAGCTATTTTTTTTTAATTCATCACCCTTTAAACAGTAAAAATATCTAGAGAGTTTTGCTAAGTCCTATAAAAGAACTTATGTTATTACATTCTACTTCTACTGGTGAATTTTACGTGATATTAAAAAAATATCGAAAATTAACCGAACTGTACCGATACCGAAGAGAACCGGCATGATTGGGACGATTTGGAAAAGTCTAATTTTGGTTATACATAATAGAATAACCAAAAAATTGGTATGGTACAAATTTTATAAAATAACCGGCCGAACCGAATCATTGACACCCCTAGAAGACATGGTGGTACAAAATCTGAGTAAAAAAATTTTATAGACAAAAAGGGGTTTGCAGAAAAGCTCTAAGGAAATTTGAAGAAGAAGAAGAGTTTACAAAAGTAAAAGATAGAAATGATGAGCAGTGGAGAAGTTTATAGGTGGTAGAATTCATGGTCATCATTACCTTGAAAATTGGCGAATATATTTTCCAAATCACGGGATAACACATGTTCGGTTCATTAAATGGAAGAAGACATACGCTCTTTCAAGTGTCAGAAACCGCTCAAAAACTTTTCCACCAAAAAAAAAGTCTTATCTACTTTCCGATAACATAAAGTTTTGTCACCGAACAGTACGGGGACTATGTGTATAAGGTAAAATTGATGAACGACAAGTGGATGCTCGACGAGTTGATACGTGAAAGTAAAGACAAGTAAGATATGAATCAGTAAATGGCTGGCAGCGGTTACGGACATGTGACTGGTACTGAATAAGTTCGTTAAAATCGAGGGGAAAAATTCGAAAGTAAGATATCGTTTTGAAAAGACAAATTCAATGAATATCGTTATAAAGAATCTTTGCATTAATTCTCAACTGTTATGCAACTATCAAGGTGAGTTTTATTCATATTAAAGAAGAGCTTGATTTGGGGATCCATGTCTTCTTGAATTGAGCTATAAATAGGAGAATTTGTATCTATTGTAAGACACCAAACATCTGTATGCAAAAAAGACAAAATTAGCTTTTATTCTCTTAACAATATTCTTTTTGTTTTGCTCTTCATATCACAATTTTTATTGCTTCTAGAGAAGCTGATCCTATAACCAGGCTTGTATTCTATTCAAGTTTGTTTAATCAATTTACTTTTGATCTTTTTTACTTCATATTATTGGATCAAATTAATTCATGTGTCTATAAATCACATTACAAATTCAATTACATTTTTTTACGAATAAATATTTTTTAATTTTTACCTTAATAAATTAATTCACGTCACAAAAATGTGATAGTACATTTAAGAGTTTTTAAAGTTCTTTTTAAGTAGGAGTATTACTTTTAGTGCTTAGAGAGGTACCCAGTTTGTTTTATTTTGTATTACATGATATCCTTTTTTAGTTTGTTTCAGAAATTTTATGTTTGAACATATTTTAAATTGAACCTTTTATTTTATTTTAATAAAATAATTTGTGTCACAAAATGTGATAGTATTGTTTACCCTAAAATTCGAGTAACAATTAAACCTGTATTATGGTTTTAAGGATATGTGATTTAATTCAACGCCAATTGATAAACAAATGATTAAATAGATAAATTAAAGAGTAAAGTAGATCAAACCAGTGTGTATGCTAAGTTTCGACCTCGACATGTAACGGTCTCGAGGTATGATTATTGGAATAAAAGATAAAACAACTCTGAAGAACAATAGGTAAAATAGCAAGAGAATAATGTACGTATATGTTCTTATCAGTGAACAGTGTTCTACAAATGATGGGATCCCCCTTTATATAGTAGGAGAATCCTAAATAAGATGCATTTTTAATTATAGTAGGAAATCATATTTGACAGTTGTCTAACCGCCGAAGACCAATCCATTCCAAAATTTCTGACCCGTCGCGAGTATCTCGCTCTTTTCGTTATTGAATCATAACGGTATCATCTCGAAGCATGCCTTCTTCTGACATCGGTAAATGATATCGACCTCGACATTGAAAAGGAGCTTCGACCTCGACCTCGTCGTCCTGGCCTCCCGACGTGGTATCACTTTCCCCCCTAAAGAACGAAATTGGGTAGCCCCGATTTCCACCGTATACAGATAGTCCCCTCGTTTCTTAGAATAAAATGATAAGAAACAACTTGAACCTTGATTTTTTGGAGGCCCCGATGATGATATCATCCCCGTGACATAAGCGCTCGAGGTGACTGAAATGTCTCATCGATTCGTTTCCCCAAAATATTAAATGTTTGCTAGTGGCGGCCGACCACTAGCACCACCGAACCGTCACCGTGAACCTATAAATACAGGTTTCCCATTTGAATCAAACTTTACTTTCACCTTCACCAATTTCTCTAAGTATTTTCCTCTCTCCATCTTTTTTCTTCCTCCGATTGTTGATTCAATCTTTTAGGATAAAAAATATCAAACTCCACTTCTTTTTGCTTCATCTCATCATAATCAATGGTGAAAACCTCCAAAACCGTCCCTCAAAAGGAGAAAGGCTCTACTTCTTCTTTCCATTCGGTCGGTGACAAAACGCCGGTGGAACTGCTCCTTCACGAGATTGTTCCCGGCCCATGTGTTCTAAAAAATGACTTCAAAGTCGAGAACCCTTCGTCGGTCCCTGGCCGATGTGAACACGTATCGAGGTATATTTTCTCGATAACAGCAAAATAGCTAGACATCGATGAAGGAAGATTGCAATTGGGGGCCCGAGGTTGTGTTATAGATCCCCGCCCCCGAAGAAAGCATCACTACTCACGTGGAGGGGCTTCTAAGTTTTTACACTTACCCCTTCACATTGGGCCCCCTCGACCCGGTTATTGTCGATTTCTGCAAGACGTACTAGGTGACCCTTGGCCAGGTTCACCCCTCATTCTGGCGCATAGTGATTATGATGCGCTTCTTCTCCGCTTAAGGCCAAGGGGTTGGAATTCACTCTTAGCCATCTTATGCGGCTGTATCGAACAAAGCTCTTTCGAGGATTAATCCAGATCCAACACCGATCGACGAAGTCCTTTTTTGCAAGTATTGACGAGGACAAGGATCAAGGTTGGTGAGCCAGTTTGTGCGGGTAAGGACATGCGACTTCATCCCCGAGGAGAAGCTGCCGTTCCCCGATAAGTGGAACCCAAAATGTAAGTGTTAGCCATTAATCTTCGCGCTTTATTTTTTGCTTTGTGTAACATTTTCATCTGTTATGCAGCGGTCTCCTGGATGCCTCAGACAGTCCCCGACCTCGAAGACTGTGTTCGAAAGTTTGTTGCAAGTTCCTCTCATGCTGAGCGTTGCTGGCGTGACTTAGCAAAGGGTAAATGGGAGGCTAAAAACCATGGTAAGTTTACCCTGTTTGCTTACGACATCTTTTTCTGGGACATTTACTTTTATATATACCTGACTCCCTTTTATACAAACCTCGAAGACGTCGCTGAATTGAGGCCGACGCCACCTGGGGAAGAGGTGGTTCCCAAACCGGCCAAGGATAAGAAGAGGATAAGGACCTCGCATTCCAACACCCCGTAGCCTAAGAAGAGTAGGGCTCGCAAGTCGAAGGACGATTTTATTACTCTGTCTACCGGTGTAGCCCAAAAGCTATGAGATGAGAAAGAGGAGGGGGAGGGCGCTAGTTGTGAGCTAGTGCCTCAAAAGAGGGGAAGCATCGAGGCTTCGAAGGCAGCTAGGCCGGTGATGGTCGAGAAGACTCATCCTCGGACCGAGGAGATCTCGGAAGGTACTCCGAGCAAAGTCCCTGAGTCATTAGGGGCAGAAGAGGTTTCCTGCCGTGACGAACAAACAGCGAGTGTGCCCGAAGGGTCCGGTAGCAGGGCTATTTGGAAGGCAGAGAGTGCCCCAAGCGACTTGCATGAGGCAATCACTATCGATGATTCCCCGCTCGGCCCTCACTTTTCTGAAGGGCAATTTCGGGAGGCTCGAGCAATGAAACCCCCAATATGGGAACGACCCATGATGGGGAAGACATATTCTGCGGCTGCCTTGTGGGGGTCGATGAAGTTTCTGACCTAGATGCGTCGATGGTTTTTGACGAGGCACATCACATCCTGAACCAGGTAAACATCATTCCCATTTATCACGTTTAATTTTATTTTCTTCTTGCTGACTTCTTTCCTTTCTTCATAGACTATGGTGCTTCATCGGAAGCATTCAACAAGTCCCAAGCCGAGCTGAGTCAGTGTGAGGCCGATCTCAAGAAACTTACCGAGGAGAGGGATGCCCTCAAATGCCTTTATGTGAAGAAAGAAGAGGATATCAGAGACCTCCGAGCAGACTTGGCCCAGGC